TGAATTCTTTTTAAAGAAAGAAAAAAAAAATGCTACTCAAACTGTTGGAGCCATTTTGGGGATCTGTTCTGGGGTCCATACACAGCTTATAAAGACAGAAGCCATGCAAATTTGATCCCATATGTAAGTCTGATTTTTGACCTGAGAATTAGAAAACAAGATGATAATTCCTGAGGCTGATGGAAGAATAGCTTCTTCCTTAGTGTGAGAAGGAGAAGAGGACCTGGAGAACTATCTGTAATTACCAGATACGGAGGAGACAAACAGGAGTTTGTGACCCATGAGGATGCCCAAGTCCTTGGCCACATTTACAGGTCTGGGATGCAATCCACCAAGCCCTCCACTGTTCCTAAGCCACAGTCTGTACTCAGGCAGAATGGATCAGGGGTCACTGAGGGCTCAGGATAAGTCTCTCCGGCTCACTGTAGAGTTTTTACCTTTCCAAACATCCATTTCTGTATCTGTAAAATAGGCCTAATTAAACAAGGGTTTCAAGGAGGTACAAATGAGATGACAGATGAACGTGAGCTTTGAAAACAGTGCCATATTATCTTTTTCACTAATTACACATTTGCATTGTGATGTAAATTAGTCTCTTCCAACACTAAATTGAATTTGCCAGCAAATTGTATAGGTGTTTCTCTTAGGCTTTCCATGAAGTTAAAGTACAGTTGAGCTACTACCATTTTTTGCTTGAGAGTTAATTTTTTATTTACCATTTGCCATTCCCTCTCACCTCCACTGTTTGCCCTCCAACCTACCCAGCTTCCCTCCAGGCTGCTGGCTTTCATGAGTTTGCATTTCTGACCCCAGGCCACACAATGCATACTGCGTGCAGAGCCCTGGCTCTACGTCTGGAGAGTATGAAGCCATAGACACAGAAACAGCTGGAGGGAGTCAGATTTGGCAATCCTGGGCTATTTTGTCATCTGAACATGACTTTGGAAGTCAAGGGAGGGCGAGTTACTCATAGCACATGGAACAAAGGCCATGTCAATTCCAGTTGCAAACATGTCATCATAGCAGCTATGACCAAAAATGGTCTTTCCCCTTATGCTAAATTTTAAGCAGAACTCACAAGTCCAGACCCCACCCAAGAGTTACAAAAGAATTACACAATAAGGGATTTCCCCTGTTCTGGTTTGGGTCTCACCCTTCTGCTTTACTCCTTTGGAAAAGACAGATGAACATCTGGCCCCAGTTAAGGGATTCTTGCATCTGCTCAAGCTAAACTAGCAGCCACCAGTTGCTGGACATGAGGATGGTGTGTTCTTCGGGTAGGAAGGTTCATGGATAATTTAATATTCAAACTAAGGTCATGTTCTGTTTTGTGGAAGGAAGCTTGGGAGAACCCCTGGGTAGCTTCTAGAGTAGGATTTACCATGACTTAAAACTAAATACAGTGTGGCTATGTGGCCAGAGAATGGCAGAAAATAAGACCTGGGTTTGCGTTCTGGCTCAGTAAAGTACCAGTTTTATCACAGCTGGTTTCCTCTTATGAAAATGGAACATGACTGTGGGGTACATTTTCTTTGCAGACCTCCCTCCCCCCCCCGACTCAATGCACCTTTATTGGGGCTCCCTACTCATTCCTTAAAATGACGGCTCCAGGTTACTGACTTCACAATATCACTCCAACAATGGATTGATTCACCCCTAATCATGTGATGACTCCACTTCATGAAGAGGAAACTGAGGCAGAAGGTAATTATGCTGCATACCCAAGGTCACACAGCAGTGCAGGACAGAGCTGTGACAGTAATAAACCTAAGCTCTGGCTCCAAAGTACCATAAACCTACTGCCAACCTGCTGGACATTTCCCACCAGGTGATAAAGTAGTTTGCTGTCCTGGTCCCCATGCCTGACCCAGACCTGGAATATTTGCTGTCCCTACCCACTCAGTTTCCATTCCAACTCCCCTGGTCCCCATGCCTGACCCAGACCTGGAATCCTTACCTGTCAAGAGTGTCCACTGTTGGCAGTTCTCCAGCCCTTTTAGAAAAAGAAGTTGACTGGGGCCATGGGAACAGAGAGCCCTGCAAGAATGGGCCTGATTCCACTTTGTCCCCACCATAGGGCAAGGCTTGAGGACAGGCCATAAGCATCTTATCTCTGCATGATCTCAAGATCTGAGTATGTTAAAAAAAAAAAAAGGTTCCTCTGAATCTATAATTTACCTTTCCTTTTTTCTGTAAAATTTTAAAAGATTGTGTACAAAATACATTTTTTCTATAAAAGTCTTAGAGAGGATAGTGAGAAAGGGGCTTGTGAATATCCATTTCACCCTGTGAAAACAAACTTTTAATCAAGCAGAACAGTAGACAATTCTTTTTGTTTTAAATTAAAAACAATTCCACCCTAACTGGCTACTAAAAAATAAAGTTGGATGCATAGATCCTGGATTAGAAGGGAAAGGCTAATTTTCCTTGCCTCCCCCACCTCCTCAAAGTGCACCCCTTTTATTCTGGATGAAACACTTCTCTTTCTAAAACACTTCCAAAGTATGGTCCACAAACTCCTGGGATCTCTAAGAATCTTCAGGGAGATCCTCAAAGTCAAAACCATTTTTTTTTTTTAAGAATCATTTTATTTAACTTTATTTACTTATTTTAATTTGACCAGAGAGGGACAGAGAAAGTAAGAAAGCAAGCCACCAGGTCCAGGACTCAAACTGCAGTTGGCCATGTGGGAGTCCAGTCTCTTAGCCACCATACCACTTGCCAGCCCCATGTTTCCCTTTTTAAACTGTTAATTGTACTGAAGGTGCAATAGCAAAGTGGGTGACTGCTGGTGCCTTAGCATGAATCAGGGCAGTGGCACTAAGTTGTACTAAGTCACAGCATTCAACACTTGCAAAAAAGAGAATTAAAAAAAAAGTTACACTCAACAATGTCCTTGATGAAGCAATAAAAACTAATTTTATTAACAGAATACTAGTTTCACTAACAATCTTTTTAATTTGCGTAATAAAATGGAAAGTACACAAAAATAACTTCTGCTGTGAACTGAAGTATGCATTTTTAGGGAAATGCAGTTGCGTCTGAGTTACAAGCTAAACTAACCACTTTATTCTTCATTTTTGATGAAAGAGCAAATGGAAAATTCTGTTTATTCAGACTTGAGTATCTGGCAGATATTTTCTCAAAAATAAAGGAAATGGGCCTGCCACTTCAAAGAAAACAACTTGGGAATATTTGTTGCCAATAATAAAATTTGAGCTTTCCAGGGAAAATTTTCCATTTTTGAAAATTTATATCTGCCACTGAGCTTGATAGATTCCCAGTACCTATTGAATTTAGTGGTGATATTTATATTGAATTGTAACATTTTGAGTTAAATTATTAATGCTCAAGGTTACAAAATCACACTGGTAAAAGATCCATTCAAAGTATAACACAGACCAATGGGATTTAATGTAGTCATAGAAAAGTTTATTGATACGGCTCAATTTTCCAATTGCACTTACCTTTTAAGAACTACCATATTGAGATCAGCAGATGGCATAAGGGTCATGTCACTGGATTCTCACAGTCAACCACGGTTCATGTCTCAGACCTGGGGGCTTAAAACTCACACTGAACACATGTGAGAAAATGCCCAAAATACCAAGAGGATAATGAAGAAGGGATGGCAGCATGGCCATCCCCGTGGGGAGTGATTTCTTGCTTTCTGTCTGTCTCTCTGGTGAGTGCACACACCCTATAGAAAAAGTGTCTAAAAAAAACCCCTACCATATTATTAAAAATATTCACAATTATATGAAACTATTAAATATTCCTCTCTGTTTCAATTTGAAATGTTAGACTAGATTTTCTTTCATCAAAATGTCAGAAATACTAAATGCAGAAACAGGTAAAGGAATCCAACTGTCCTTTAACCCATACATTAAAAAGATTTGCAAGCATGAAAGTGACATTCTCACTTTTAAAAATAAATTTTTCATATAAAATGACTTTTGCTAATAAACAATAGTACAATTATTTACAAGTGAATTAATACTTTAAAAATTGCTTTAATTTCTAATATGGTAACCATTGATAGACGCAACCAGTGCTGTGCTGGTAAATGTTTAGCCACCAGATAACCACTATGAGGTGGGGGTTGGGAAGAGTGTTGATTTGTAGTGGTTGCTGGTTCCCATGGTGTAAACTCAGTGCAACCAATTTCAAGCTACCAATGTTACTGATGTAGAGTTGGGAAGAAACACCCACCATCGATCTCACTAATTCGTAGTGAGCTAGCTTCATCACACCACTGGATATAACCCACTTTTTTTGGCATCCTCACTGATCTTCAAGAGTGTAAAGGAGGTAAGAACAGATATTCTACAACTGTCACCCTCATCCCTGGTAAGTTACCTCACCAACTTGAGGGAACATGGATCATTGTGGACTTGATTTCAAGTGCTTGAACCTCAAGTCTCAACATGTTTAATATAAACATTTCAAAATCTCTTCTATTAAGACTGCCAAACATCTAGCAAAAATCAGACACCCAAATCTGTCATAATCATTTCTTAAAGAAATATTTTAAGGAGCACTAATGTTTTTTTATCATGACTGAGCCAACACATGTGCACGTGAAAATAAGAAATATGGTCCCCAACAGGGTCTGGTCCCACAGTAAACCTTTCCTCTAGTTCTTCAGCCCATCAGCTCTCAGGCACTCGTATGTGTCTGGCTTGTTCCAGGTCAGTTGAGCTAGGGACTTGAACCATGGTCACTATGTGAAATTTGGCTTCCCTTGAGCAGTGCATTACTGCTGCACTGCAGAGTCAGCCCCTTAAAGAGTTTTCAGGAATCACTTCAGGAAGGGCTGAGTCCACCTTGACTGTGGTTTCTAGGTGATTTGTGAATAAGACTAGGTAAACAGAGATTTGACCCTTGGTGATAGAAAGTTCCAGGTAGATCATGAATTTAAGGCTAATATCCTCACTCTAACTCTTCCATGTTGGTGGTATGGAGGAAGAATGAGGAATAAGAGTACAAGGGAGAGTTTATATAAACAAAATACTTTATTGTTTGGGAAATAAGGCCAATTTACATAATTTTATGCCAAAGATCTGTTCGTTACCATGCTAAAGGCTCCTAAGGACTTTAGTTACTATAATTCATAGCTTGAACCCTATGAAACTGCCATCTTCGTAATTAAAGATCAGTCTCACATTGGTAATTTCATAGCCTCAACTTCATACATGAGTTGATGGCTCCAAATTCTCTAAGCAGCAAGATGTTTTCAGTCACGTATCTGTTTGTCTGTTTATTATACCCAGATGTCCAAGTGATAGAAAGGTTGCACTTGAGACAAACATCCTTTGTGTAAAACCACTGGAAATTGTCTTTTTTTTTTTTTTGGAAATCGAGGCTGCATTGTCCTACCTCTGGCTTTGTTCCTCACAGCCTACCCTGTCTCTAAACAACATGGTCTCCCCACAAGGTGATTCTAAAGAGATGTTGGCACTGGTCCAAAGCTACACTGCCAAGAAACAGGAGAATCTGTAGAACTTCTAAACCAATTTGACTGGGTCATTTATCAATGCCAGGAATACACAGTTGGCTCAGGTAAAAGTCCTCATCTTTATAAAAATTCTTGCTTCAAATGAGCTATCCCAAGGCTTCATTTCCCATCTTGCTGACACTCTCTGTGTCTCTGAGTCTTATGTCCAGGAAAATAAGAATAATCTTGCTGTGGACATGGAGCTGATAGAAGCAGCATGCTATCCTGATAGCCCAAGACACAACAGGTGAACAAAGACAGTGCAGGACACATTTCCCTAATGTTTAAGAGGTTTAACACTCCCCCCCCCACACACACACACCCTCAGCTCTGTACAATATGTGTAACTTTACATGGAGCTGAGATAAAAATAAAACTTTTTTACAAATTACATTTTTTCCAGTGAATTACTTTTGCAGTAAAAAATAGCTGCTACATAAATTCCTCCTGATCTCTGAAAAGGAGTCACATATTTCCAAAAATAGTATTCTTATTTTTAATCCTACAGAATAACTTGGGCACAGGAAGGAAATGGCTGGTCAGGGAGAGGTGAGTTGTCAGGGAAACATAGTAAAATACAAAATAAAATATGGTATGTATAAACTGACTTAAGCATGCACAGAAGTGGAAAACATATGCCATTTGTCAAGAAAAATACTGCTTTATAGTTTTTACTGTACAATTAAAGGAGAAAGCAGAGGCCAAATGTACCCCTAGATAATAACATTAAGTTTCTTATAAAAATTTCCAAGTATACAAAGTTCTTGCCAGATACTAACCAAGGCAAGAACAAAAACAAAAACAAGAACAAAAACAAAAAAACAAAACAAAACAAACAGGGATTGCCCCTTAGACCTTAATCCTGTAGGTATATTACATGTAAATATACACCTCACTTCTTAAGCCTGCCCTTGGCAGATCAAGTCTTTGTAAAATGCCATATGTGCTATTGAAAAATGAAATAAAGCATTGGATATTTGTATTCTTAATTCAAATATAGTTATATAATTATTTTAAATTACAATATACAATTTGTTAAATAGGACTGTTAAAGAGAATTCTGATAACAATAAGATTATAATAATATATACAAACTAACTTCTGAAATGGCATGATTGTTTCCTTCCCAGTCTCCTATCCCACTCAAATGAGATGGCTTTTTCATTTGCTACTTGCAAAAAGCAAAATAAAATTTAAAATGTTTGTGTGCGTCCATGACATGCTCACTCCTTTGAGAATCTCAAACAGCCCGGACCATCCCGACATATGGCCTGCTTCAGCCAGGATGGCTCTCCACTGCCCCTTTCTTGGCTATTCTCACTGCCTCCTGCCATCAGGGAGACAGCCTTGTCAAAGGCGTGGTTTGGGATGAAATAAGGCCACTGCTTCTTGGCGACTTTCCCGGACGTATTCAGTCCCACCTTTCCTAGGTCCTTGGAGCAGTTAGGCAGGACAGGCCTCCCATTCACAGTCCACGGCCAATGGCCGGCTCAAAGTGGTCCCAGAGAACTCAGTCCTCTGTGTCTGGCTGGACACCCAGGATGGCATGCAGTTCCTCAGGAGTGAACCCCAGTAAGTTCTGGAGGTCACATACGAAGCGGTACACATAGCGCTTCCCCGACGTCTTATGGATGATGTTCTTGTCATAATAGTAGCGTAAACCCCGGCTCAGCTTCTCATAGTTCATCTTGGGCTTATTTTTCCTCTTTCCCCATCGGCGGGCCACCTTCAGTAGACATGGATGGAAAAGTTAAATTCAATTTGCTAGTTAAGAAAATGTGAACAACATTCCCCACTCTCTATCTGATGCTGATGCATGCTCTGCCTAGAGAACTTGGCAACTAAGGAGGGTCCACAGGACCCTGTCTGCTAGTACAAAAGCCAGGGCACTGTGTCCCTCGGCTGTTCCTCTGCACCTACACAGGAGAACTACTGGGAGTGAGATGCCTGCCCCTCTCCTGCCTGCTGTCTCAACAAAATCTCTTCTGGTAGGAGTTAGGACGGTCCTGAGACAAGGAGACAGGGAGAAACTTGTGACATCACCTTCAGGTTTTTGTTTCAATTACAAAGCTAAAAGCTGCTGAGTTAACAGGATTCTGGGTCATATGACATCCTCGTTCCCCCTAATGCTTACTTCTCACTGGAACCTGGGAGGTGACAGATTACACTGTATGAAGCTAGAGACCAGGGGCTTCCCAGATGCTGGCCTAGGGGTGGCTGGTATCACCTCCACCTTCAGCCTTCTCCTCTAGGCAGGCCCTCTGGTTCCAAACCTCCAGAGCAAAGCCAGAGGCCAGCATGAGGCTACTATAAGGCTTGCTCCCCCAAAGATCAAGGCAAATTCCCTAACGCATTCCCAGATAATCAGGAGAGAACCTATTTGTGGCTTGGGCCTTCTGGGCAGATGACAGCCAGATGCTAAAGTCTGCCCAATGTCCATAGGCACATCCATGGGCCACCACAGATTTATCAAGGCACAACTCCCAATTTTCCCAACAGCCAGGAATGCATCACATAGGAGACTTCTCTCATGAA